AAAGGCAATGCCTCATGACAACACTCCTGACAAACCAAACATTTGTTTGTGAAAGGCATTTTCCATCTGACAATGAAACTGGTTATTAAAGGAAAAGTGTAACCCAGAAATCCACCATCAGTATTTAATCATTTGCCATCAACAGAGTTCCTCAACCAAAACTAAGAACAAATAAAACTTCTGCTTCTGTGCAAAATGTTGAGTTGGCACAGTTTCTAGAAAAAGACAAAATACTCACTTTTGAAAATTTTTATCAGAATATTGATCAAGAGCATTTTGTGTCAGCAGTTACAGGCTATAAATCAAACAATCAGCCATTCATCCAATCTGTTAATATTTTCAATGGAGGTATTCCAATGTTTTTAATTAAAATTTTTGAAAACATGAGATTTGAATGTTTCCATGCTGATATATATATACAACAATTTTCTTCTCTTCCAAAAAAATGAATATCAATGTTTCAATAGTCACAAAATCAATGAAGCAATTTATCTTAGTAACTTAAAAATTGATAGGAAATTTTTTTTCAAAAGAACATTAATACTATGTCACCACAAAGGATTATGATTCTAATATTCTTATCAGGGCATTTGAATATTTTTGTTACATCTTGGTCATTATATAACAGACTTCAGGATGATCTTAACTTACCCAATGTGAAAAGATTATCAACTTTAACATCAAAAGTCTCAAAATTATAAGACTTTAATTTTCTTAGAGATATTTTTAGTAAAATCTCTGAAAATCTGAAAAAGTATGTTCTTTTACTTGAAGTGTATGTCAAAGTTGTACTACAATATCATTGAGGAAATTTATTTGGTTTGGCAGAAAATTCTGTGGGATTACCAAAAATACTATTAGGCATCATGGTAAAATGTTTAAATGATGAACCAAGATTTTTTTCTTAAAATGATCCCAGTTGCAAAATTAGAGGCAACTTTTTCTATATGGAAAAGTTTTATATAGTTGATGCAATCAAAAAAAATAGTCAATTGCAATTGTATGTGACAGGACTAAATCTTTTTTTTTTTTTAAATTAGCGTTTTTAATAAGCCTTGAATAACTAAAAATGGTTTGTACTTTTTGATTATGTCTACCTTTTTAAAAATATTCAGAATAATTGAATTACTGAGCCTACTTCAGAATTACTGTTTATTTCTGAAGGCAAAAAGATGATAGCATAATTGAAAATTGTAAAATGTCTTTGAGTATGAAAAGAAAAATCAATTTGTCAAAACTGATATAACAGTTTACACAAAACCTGTTGAGTGACAAGGTTTTCCATTGTTTTAAGTTTTTTTTATGATCAAACTGTAGCTATTAAAACATACCCATTATTAAAGGGGGGGGATACTGCAGAAACAGTTAATTTCATTGAAAATGTTTTCCAATTTTGGAAAATTGTCTGTGTCAAAGATATATATCATGATATTAAGAAAAATGACAAAAAGAATGGGAGGAAATCAAGGAAAAAGAATGAAACCATTAACAAGAGATATTAGCTTAACCATTGGACATACATGCAATGGCTTAATTGATATTTGTTTGGAGATATTTGCTAAGTAGTGGGTTTAATTTTATTATGCTTGGTGAATTTACCAGACTACCCAGAAAATCAAGATAAAATTCTGGAGGTGCATATTTTATAACAACTCAAAATATTATTGAGAAAAAAAAAAAAAAAAAAAAAACACTTCATAAATGTTTATGTTTAAGAATACAATTATGCATAATTGCTGAAAATGTGAACAGTTGCTGAATGAAATGAGATACCAAACATTTGATAACTTACCAGACCTTGAAACTAGGATCCTTAAAGAAATTAAAATGACACTTTTGTATGTAGCAAGCTATGTTACAAGAAAAGATTGTCCCACAGAAGATGAAATATTTAATAAGTTTTTATTTTCAATATGGACATTTTTTAAAAGATTGTGACAATTTAAACATTCCACTAGATACCAGTTCCATGAGTATTTTTCTGTTTTATAATGTTTGTTGTTAAATTGAAGACATAAATTCTTTGATAAAAATCTTTGATATGTATCATTTCAATATGAAAAGAGGGCAGGAGTTTATTTTGTCAAATATTTTTTGTTTGGTTTACCTAAGACAACTCGAGAACCAGCACTAAAATTTTATTTATAAAAAGGTAAAAATGTTTTTACAATTCTCTTTAAAACTACATAATCAGTACTAAAAATTCATATTTTTTCAAGTAATAAAAATGTTCATGAAGCTGCATTTAAAAAAAAAAAAAAAAAAAAAAAAAAAAAACAAAACATTCATTCAGAAAAATATTTACCAGATATTTATTTTTCAATTTCCTCCATTTTTACATATATTTAATTATCCTGTTAATTAATTTTGTGTTCTTTGTTAATATAAATTGATTTTAATTATTAAAACTGTACCGGTAATATCTATTATTTTATAGTAAAATAAGTATTTTCTTCATCTTCTGTAAAACAACTTGTACATATAACAAAAAAAAAAAAAAAAAAAAAAAAAAAAAAATCAAGATTATCAAAATTATTTTCTGAAATTCACATTTTTTTGTAAAGTATTTTCAGACTTTGTTGATACATGATTTCATAGAATGTTGAAATTGCTTTCTGATTGCATCATACAATTTTTTTCTGTAATCAATTAGCATAAACAAATTAACTCATTATTTTTGCAATATCATCTAAAAATGTCTAATTTAAAGTGCTTTTTGTGCATTTAGTTATTTTATAGGTTATTTTTCTTTGTACATTTGCATTTATAGGAAAAAAGTCAATAATTCTGAGATGCTTCCTCATATTATGTATAGTTTCTAATTAACTGATTACTGGACATTACTAACAAGTTTTTTGCTAAAAGTGTTCTCAGTAATTGTATTTAGTAATTTAGGTTTCCACATGCCCATTCCCAGTCACATGGTTGCCAGGCCTGGCATAAGGTTTACTTTGGTTAGAACTTATTTACAAAATTTAAACTGTTTGCCATTTATTCTCTTTCATTTTAACCCGAGAAACACCTAAATGTGCAAAGTTTCACATGCCTATAATGCAGAAGTGCAAGCAGGTAGCAATCTATTTCAGTAAACAGCATTAACACCCATCACATGATTAACAAGAGGCACTGGAATTAAAATTTTTGGAAAGGTACAATTTTTATAGAATTGTAGATTTCCAAAATCTCTAGTAATATAAAAGTCAGTTAAATTTGTTAATATTTGAAAGCGAAATCAACTTTTAATTGATTTTCAGTGCATCTATAAATATTACTTTGATTGCACAAATAGCACATATTCAGATTTTTCATCAATTTGTTTATGACTCTAGGGATTTAACAATTGAAGTCTTTTACAGCCTGATCAGGTTATTTATTATTAATGTAATTATGTCTTTCCACCTACTCTCATGAGAGGGGTTAAAAAAAGTGTCAATGCATAAGAAACAACATTCCTTTTAGTACAATGGCATTGGCTTGGAGTCGAGGGCTCCAGTATTTTCCTATTGCATCTGCAAATTATGAAAGCAAACAACTGATTTAATGCTAAGGTGAGTATTCATTTTCAAAATTAGATACTGTAAACAATGATCCAAATCTTTGTTTCCACATATAGAAGTATCGACACCAGTCTTATCAAGGCACCATTCTTTTTTTTTTTTTTTTTTTTTGTACTAATGTAGGTGTGCTTAGTATTCAAACATTTTCCTGATGACACCAGTTCTCAACTTAATGTCCATGCTGATAATAGCAAGACCAGAGAAAATGATTAAGTCTGATATGGTCAAATTTGCAACTGATCTCAAAAAATGACCTAGTCTGTTATTAACTGGGGCAAGGAATGTCTTGTTAATTTTAACACCTCCAAAACAATCACCTGAAAGATCTCTTCCTTCCTCCCATCAGCATGGATGATGCTAACCCACACAAGAGTGAATTATTGCACCTTCTCAGTCTAACATGAAGTGAAGAGAGATTGAATCCATTGCCTGGTCTGCTGCAAAGAAAGTTGATTCAGTGTATCATGCTAGATAATCTCTCTTGTATTTATAAGTCTACCATCCATCCATGCCTGCCTGCCTCAAATATTGTTGCCACATATGGTCTGGTGATCCTGCTATATATTTAGATTCTTGGTAACAATCCATGGAAGAATCAACAAAATATAATTGGTCCTGACCAGATATCTCAGCTTCATTCACTTTCCCACCACTAATGTAACTTCACTGTAACTCATCTATACAATACTTTCAGGTTAATTGTTTAAGTGAACTCTTCACTATGGTAGACATGTTACGAATATAAGTGCAATACTAGATTGGCAGGAAGGTCTCATCAATTCAGTTGAATTGGTTATAGATGTAACAAAGTTTTATGCTAACAGTTTTTCATCTTTCCAGCCAACTTTAAACTTAAAAAAAATGTAGATGCAATGTCAATCATTATCTACTGTCCTCTTCATTACACTTTGTTCTTAATAAGGTTTCTTTATTTTCTCATTCTTTTACACTTACTAGCTTTACTGCCTTGGATTGACTGGTGTGATATTAAAGAAAAAAAAAAAAAAATTATTAATTTACTCTGGCTAAGAATAAATGTAGTGTAATTTGTTCTGAATAAGAATAAAAAATTATTATAACCATGTAAGTAATTTTCTTATAGAAAAATAATGAATCCTATCAATCTTTAAGGAGGCAATGCAAGTATTCTCTTGCCAAAAGAGTACATACCAAAACTGCAAATATTATTCAATAGTCATCAATTTTATTTACTTTAATGACAAAGTTCATGTTAAACTGGAAAAAATAAAATAAATTAAAAAAAATTAAAAAAAAAAAAATAAATAAAAAAAAAAATAAAAATAAAATAAAGTAAAAAATAAGAACTAAATATAATAAAGAACTAACTATAATTGATAGATTGATCTGTTTATTTATTTTACAGCTTATCAACGCTTGGTGGGTTACTTAAACCCAGAAGATATTTCAGATTGTAGCAGTTTGATTACAGTACCCAGTGTTCTCCAGCAATCCACCAGCTAAGTACTAACTGGGCTCAACGCTGCTTAACTTCAGTGATCAAGTAAGAATGGGTGTTTTCAGCGTGATCTGACTGTAGACCCTAAGTGTAATAAAGAACTAATGACAAAGAAACAAAAAGAGAGAGAGAGAGAGAGAGAGAGAGAAAAAAAAAAAGCAACAATGTTCTAGTATTATGACTAAGAGGTCAAACAGAAGATTAGTCATTGAAGAAAGTCAAAAAAAAAAAAAAAAAAAAAATCCTAAGGTCATACAAGCAAGCAGGTATGGTAATCAGTCAACACTGGCAAATACAAAATAAGGTTTACATTTAGAAAGCAATCTAAGTATTACAACTTGATACTCTGGACTAACATTCACATCTTTGAAAATTCTAACCTGTGTCAGAAGTTAATTATCTTCCTACAATTAATGGTAACTTACTATTCCTAGGTTATAAAATGAACCATCTACATTAGTTACCTCATACTAATAATTCTTTGTCTCTCATGATTGTGCAAGCCTAAACAACTTATTGAGTTGAATGCTGAAACAGAGGTAGAGTTTAGAAAAGAAAAGAAAAAAAAAAAAAAAAAAAAAAAAGGATTTAAGTTATCTAACTGGTGTAAATCATTTAATCAAAATTCATATAATCCAATGTATAAAGACATTGTCTAGGCAAGTTGTTAATCTAAATGAACAAATGGTTTTAAGACAAGCATCCTTACCTTTGTTTTTGTTTTTTTTTTAAAGTTTTGGCCACTGTAACTTCTGTTCATGTTTTTGTCAAATGTAACCGAGAATTTTGAATGGACCATTATATATAGGTCATAACCTGACAATATGGAATTCAAATCTGTGTGAATAGAGTAGCACCATAAAGAAAATTGGGGGTGAGGGGTCCCTAAGGATAGTGATTATAACAGAGCAAGAAATGAGAATATACCTCCACTTGAAAAGAATAAAGGGGTCTGTTCAAAACCTAATAAAGCAGGTAATGATTTAAAGAAGAAGAAAAAAAAAAAAAAAAAAAGATAAGGATGCTAGTCTAAAACATTGAATAGCACCTAATCAAGAAATTGCTTTGCACGAAGTAATAACAAGAAACAAAGGCAATTTAAAAGCATGTATATTTGTTTTCTTTTACTCCCCCCATTCCCAAAAACCTGTACGAATACAAAAAAAAACCCAATGACAGGAATATGGCTAAATAAGGGAGGAAAAAAAACCTGAAAAGTAGCTTTGTCAAAATATCCTGTCTGTGTTTTAAGATGGAAGCACTTTGCCTCAGCTGCATGAAGGCTTGGTATTAAAAAAAAAAAAAAAAAAAAAAAAACACCATGAGAGCTTTCATCTGGGCTTAACATATGTCACCCCACAGACAACAATATATAAAAAAGGTATTGATGTGAGCTACAGTGTTAAGAGGGGAGGAGGAGGGAAAAAAAAAAAAAAAAAAAAAAAACGGATAACATGTATCTTTATTTAATTAGTGTTTTTTTTTTTTTTTTTTTACTTGTTTCAGAATATACCCACCCACAAGAGAGGGACAGTTAAAACTGATGAGGGGAAGGGTGTCATTTAACTGAACAGAAGCTGTTTTTTTTTTTTTTTTTAAATTTTAATCCCATGTTGGGTGAAAAAAAAAAAAAAAAAAAAAAAAAAAAAATTATATTTTTTCGTGTGGGTGGATCAAATAGGTCAATTTTATGTCTAGAAATGAATGTTTCTTTCTGATGGACACAGGTTACTATAGATTTAGGGATAGCAACTTGAAAACAAACCAATATTTTTCTGCATAAAAATGAAATAAGTTATTAAGAATTATGCATTTATCACATGCTAATATATAGGTGAATGTCAAAAAAAAGTTTTCATAATTTCTGGGATGAAACAAAGGAGTAAAAAAATTAAATTAAAAATAATGCATTTTTATTTTTCAAATCTTTGTATTAAAATGAATATCTCTTCCTCATCTGAATGTTTACAATGACTGTATTAATTTTTTTTTAATAAAAATGTATGCATGTATTTAATAATGACCTTTATAAGCACGCACACACACACTAAAATTTCACAAACAGATCCACCATTTTCAATTAGTCCACTTTGGAAGTGGGAGTGGGGGGTTACAAAATTAGATTAAAAAGACTTAACCCATTAGTATACCGACTTCATCCATTATAGATAATCTTCGTCACAGTCCTTAGTTCATGCATTTGTATCAAAATCACATATTTTATAATTGATATATATAAAGTTATATTTACCTTATAACAAAAAAAAAAAAAAGAAAAAAAAAAAAAAAAAAAAAAGAAAAAAAAAAAGAAAAGGCATTTATATGTTAAGAAAAAAATTTTAGGAAAAAACATTGAAACTCCATGGATATATATTTTAGCTGTTCTAAATTAACCATCACTCATTTTCAATGCATTCTACTATATACACTTACATTAAAAAAAAAAAAAACAAAACAAAAACACACCAAAACAAAAACAAGTTTGCAATTTCACATAATACCTTTTTGTATTTTCAATTTGTTAGAGAGGGAGAGTTGTATAATTCATTAAATTCACACCTGGTAAAATGCTTTAAAAGTGAAATAGTCAGAAATTTTTGAAGTACATGTGGTAACAAAGATACACCAAGTTATAATACGAGGTGAGAATTAAGATGGGGATAAAATGTTTTTTTATAACTTAAGAGCAGTGAACGTGGTCAATTAAATTCCCCACCTTTTAAATCTATTACGAAGTGGGAGTTTTGACCTCCATTTGTTCCCCCCACTCACCAAACAATTAAGTTTTACTATTAGAACGAGGAGAGAAAAAAAAAAAAAAAAAAATTTTTTTTTTTGACATTTGTTATTTTATGATTTTGAAAGATCAGAACTAAATCCTATCTTCAACTGCATTTTAAAACCCTTTTTCATAAGCAGCTGCCTACTAATCATCTGTTAAAATGCAATGACACTAAAACTGTCATTAAATGTTATTACAGCAATGAACATCATAAGCAATTCTAATGGGGATACTTTTTGTTTCTTAAAAAAAAAAGAAAAAAAAAAAAATCATGAAGATACAGTAATTTTGTCCCCCCCACACTATAAACTTTTTTTTAAAAAATATACACTGAACAAAAACAATTTGAAACCCAATCGCAATTATGTTATAGTTTTACTATTGTTACAAATAAAACCAGATGTTTACTTCCTACTAAAGAGAAATCATTTTTGAATATTTAAATTTGCCTAATACCCACCCTGCCTCAGCTGATCAAACAATTTTATATTTATCTTCAACCTCCCAAGCTTCTATCAAAATTATCACAATGACATGAAGTGTGTGTGTTTTAAGGAGCATGCTGAAAAGGTCTTGACTTAATTCTTTCAAGAAAATAAAACTGATATTTGGTCATTCAGTGGGTTGGGTCCAGAACTTTTCAGCATCTCCTTATATGAAAGGATGTAAATAAGTGATGAGCAATACTTAAAAAAAGCCGTTTGGAAATGACTATTCTCTTAGTAAAGTATTGTGCCCAATAAAAAGGCCAGATTTTGAAAAAGAAAATTCTTTATGATTGTGGTAAACTGGTAAACTCGGCTTTAATCTTATAGATTACCATGGTTGGCAGGTCAAAAGCACCAACAATCCATGGGCTAGAAATATGTAATCTAGGCAGTGTATATTGTACTTGGAATGTTAAGTAGCTTTCATAGCATTAGTAACTATCCATCTAGGTTCAAAGGAAAAAAAAAAGAAAAGTTACCTGCTATGAAAATAATTGCATTTCGGACTGAAAAATCATTCTGATAACTTCATCAAATGTACATTTTTAGAGGGAGGAGGAGGAGAAAAAAAAAAGAAAAAAAAAAAGATTTGCATTAAATTTTTGTTCTTAACATGTCAATCATATTTCCATTATTAGGATTTTCATTATCATATTTTGAAATATTAGGATAGTGTTAATAAAAGTCAACCCAACAATGACTAAAACCAGACCAATGACAATATCAAGAACAATATGAGAGTCAAAATAAATTACAAATGATACCTCTTCTCAAAAATCTGCTTGCTTATAACAATAAGTGGAGAGGGAGGGGAATGTTGATTTTAATAAATAAATTTGCAAAATTTCTTTAAGGTTTGAAATCTGCAAAATCAGGAAGTTAAATTATGATTGAAGTTACTGAAAATAATTTCATTTTAATAAATAAAACAAGGTTTATGTTTACCAAAAAATATACAGAGATGGGCACCAATGTGCATTTTTAGATGCACATTAAAAATATATTCACAAAGCATTCTAAATTTAAACTTTGTTTTCATATCTTGTCTATGGAAATTAAATTTTTAAGGCATAAAATACATTTCTATCAATATAGTTATTTTAAAGAGCAAGTTATATCCACTAACTGTAATTTGCATGAGACATTTGACTGCAAGATGGGAAAAATCCAAAATAAAAAAATCATAGTAATTTTATAGCTGTGAAAACATTTTAAAATCAGTCTAAAAAGTTATTTAAAAAGAAAAGATCATTACTCAATTTCAAAGTGTGACATTTCATAAGCAAACAATTTGAATGTCATTGTTGATTTCTTGGTTTCATTTTTCAAAGTTGTATACATTCCTATTTAAATATTTGCTTGAATGAATTTCATTTTTCAAACTGTAGCTTTAAGAAAATGTGTGTGCTAAAGATTTCAATGAAATTTTTTTTTTCTGTAGAAGCTGCTCCCGAGAAACCTTGTATTTCTTCTGGAAGGCAACAAAAATTTTCAATGAATATATGGACAAGCTATTTGCTGGAAAACTCAAGCAGAAAAAAAAAAAAAAAAAAAAAATTATAACTACATTTTAGAACATATCAATTTTAAGTTGTTAAAGTTTAAATGTTATTTGCATTCAAATTTAAATAAACTGAGTTCAATTACTTTGCAACTGAAAGTTTAAATATTGGAATTAATAATGATTTATGAAGAGATTAGAATCAAACTTTAAATAAATGGCATTAACATCAAATGTGAAGGAACCAAAGGAATGGTGGCAGAATAAGTGTGTGTCAGAGACAATTGCACCCAGATGACTGGTGAGCTG